CCCCAAAACCCCAAAACCCCAAAACCCCATAACCTAATACATTATAAAAATATCGGAAATATAACAATTAGTGAAAAAATAAATTAATGGGCTGTCTTCAATCCACGCAAACAGCATAGCATAATGTTAAAAAGATAAAAGCAGGTGTTGCTTAGCTCAGGTAGCTCTATAACATAAATCCAAAGGTTTTAGGATCTGGTACCTTTGGTAAAGTGTTTTAGGCAGAGAATAAATCTGACTCATCTCACAAAGTCGCAATAAAAGTCATATCTAAACAAAAATTATCAAGAGAGGAAATTGAGGCATTGCATGATGAGGTTGCTATACTATAGAATCTAGATCACCCTAATATAGTCAAGTATTATGAGACTTATGATGATGTGAAGTTTATTTACTTGGTGATGGAACTTTGCCCAGGAGGAGAGTTATTTGAAAAACTAACCAGTAATATGCAGCCTTTTGGAGAGAACCAAGCAGCTTCAATCATGGATAAGTTACTAAGAGCTATCATCCATTGTCATAAGTAAAATATAGTTCACAGGGATATCAAACCTGAAAATATTATGTATGGCAACGATGGTGAGGTAAAGTTCATTGATTTTGGTTTGGCTAAATAAACTGCAAAAGCCAATTAAAAGTTGCATACAGTAGCAGGTACACCTTATTTCATCTCCCCTGAAGTTTTAAACGGTAACTACGGCAAGGAATGCGATTTGTGGTCACTAGGAGTTGTACTCTATCTGATGATCACAGGCAAATATCCTTTTGATGGCAATAGTAGGGCTGAAGTTTTTACCAAGATTTAAAAAGGCTAGTTTTCTTTTCCTGAGTCAGTTCAAAAAAAGGTTACACCTGAGTGCATTGATATTGTTAAAAAAATGTTAACTGTCGATAGAAACAAGAGGCTTAGCGGTGAAAATGCTCTAAAACATCCTTGGTTTGAAAAATGTCTAAAGAAATTAGAAGGCTCTTCTAATATACTTGATGTAGAGGTTATGAAGAAATTGAGAGAATTTAAAGGCAGCTCCACTTTAAAAAAAGCAGCATTAAATGTCTTAGTTAAAATGCTAAACCCGAAAGAAATTGAGGGACTTAGGATCGAATTTTAAAAGATAGACACTGACAATTCAGGATTTATTGAAATATAAGAACTTGAAAATGCGCTTAAGAATGCCAATTACGACATGAGTGCTAATGAGATAAAATAAATAGTAAGTGAGCTTGACTATTCTGGGAACCACAAGATAAATTATACTGAATTTCTTGCAGCTACAATATCAGTCTAGAAATTCTTAACACATTAAAAGTTAGAAGCTATTTTCAGGCAATTCGATATCGATGGTAATAATGAGATAACTTAAGAAAATATTAAGGATGCTATGGCGAAACTTGGTAAAGATATATCCTAGGAAGAACTTGAAGAAATAATGAAGAGGCATGATTATTCAGGAGACAAAGCAATCTCAATTGATGAATTCAAAAAGATGATCTTGGGTAATGATTGAAGCAAGCTATACCTATTATCACTTTTATACTAAATTTAATCACATTTTATTTAATTATGAGAGTTATTTACTTAGTTTTATTGAATCTTTTTCATTATTGAACTTTATAATGACTCAAGGGGTTTTGGGGTTTTGGGGTTTTGGGG